GCTTTGGTGACTTTTACTGCTAAGTGCTGGCTGAGACAGAACAGTTGCATTTAAGGTGAACTCCTGCAGCTGGTCAGCACGGGAAATCTCTGACAAACCGTAATCCTAAACTGAGCTGACCTGTCTGCCACGTGGTCGGTAACCAGGGATGATTTGCAGTGCGCAGATCGTTCCTAAAACACCCCAGCGCTTCCTGAAGGTGTCGTAATGAGGCATCAACTAGCCGTAGGTTTTGGAAGAGCCGGCAAAAAGTTTCCAAGCCAGGCTTGTCTTCTCGTTCCTGTTGTTCCTTATCTATCCCTCTTGGGGATCCCTCTGTTCCCTGGTTACCGCTGGTGTATGGGAAGACGCAGAAGCTGTTTTGTTCTCCTGGTTTCACCCAAACTCCTTGCGCTTTGGATGGATTGTGGGTCGGTGACCCTCTGCTGTCCGCTGTCTGGTGGGTGAGTATCATTTGCCACGTCAGGAGGTGGTGGATTTTGCCCGTTACGGCGGGTTTTCGCTTTAGGAACCACTGTTGGCAGCCAGATTCCCTGCGCTGACGACGGACGCTTCACTGACGTCGGTGCGAACAGCACGTATTTGAAGGTCTGTGCCTTGGCACCTGCGCCCAGGGCGTGATTTTTAAAACAAAAAACGTTTTCATTTTTAGTAACTTCAATTTATGACTGTGCAGGTATCAAGAAAATGAAAATTCTGGTGAAGATCATACCCAGTGTCCCACTGTAGCATTTTTAACGCTAACATTGTTTGCTCTGCGCTGCCTCTTCGGGTTTTATCAGCGGGGCTGGACAGCCGTAACTCCCTGAAAAAGCAGAAATTCGAGTGGGTGGCTCTGCCTTTGCCACTGCCATGGAAAAAGTGAGCACAAAGTCGATTGGATATGTGAAAAACAGTATTTTAGGCAACTTGGCGCTTGAGCATCTGCTCCCCGCGTGAGCCCCCCCCGCTCCTCGCTGCCCCCTTCCTCTTCGGTTCTCTGTGACATCACACAGCAGGATCAGGTGGAGCGTTAGTCCTCCGGCTGCTCTCGCCCTCTGCGGTGCTGGCGTTCGCGGGGATGGAACTCCCTAAACCGACGGAGCGCTGTTAGGTTGTGGTGGCTGTAATGAGTTGGCCGTTGTAAGGAGTCAAATCCAACTTCTGAAAGGGTCACCAGAGCTGGGAGAATTTCAGGTATCACCAGTTTCGTGCAGCTCGATAGGATGCTTGTGGGAAGCTGAAAGGAAATTCAGTCTTCCTGAGATTCCGCTTACCATGGGCTTACCATGGGTTTACCATGGGTTTATCATTTAAAACCTTACAGCTGGCTTCCCTGTCAGTTTGGGGTTTAATCTTCGTTTTTTCATCAGGGTGGTACCAGTTATATTTACTTAGTCTTGCCAAGAACAGCTGCATTTTCTGCTAAATCTGGCGAATGCGGGATGTTCCGGTGCGCAGACGGTTAAGAACTGTGCCGTGTAATCCAAGGGATTACCTTTCCTGGGAGCCTTGAGAGAAACCTCTTCGGGGCATCCTGCTCCGTGCCGTGTGTAGCAGATGGCTTGTTGCTGCTGAATACGACACTTTTATAAAAACACGGGGTGGCTTTCAGTACGGAGAAATAGAGCCACTTGTCAAACCGGTAGGATGGAGGGTATCCCGGTTGATGGAGTGCTCCGACCTGAAATACTCACACCTGAAATACTCACACCTGAAATACTCACACCTGAAATACTCACACCTGAAATACTCACACCTGAAATACTCACACCTGAAATACTCACACCTGAAATACTCACACCTGAAATACTCACACCTGAAATACTCACACCTGAAATACTCACACCTGAAATACTCACACCTGAAATACTCACACCTGAAATACTCACACCTGAAATACTCACACCTGAAATACTCACACCTGAAATACTCACACCTGAAATACTCACACCTGAAATACTCACACCTGAAATACTCACACCTGAAATACTCACACCTGAAATACTCACACCTGAAATACTCACACCTGAAATACTCACACCTGAAATACTCACACCTGAAATACTCACACCTGAAATACTCACACCTGAAATACTCACACCTGAAATACTCACACCTGAAATACTCACACCTGAAATACTCACACCTGAAATACTCACACCTGAAATACTCACACCTGAAATACTCACACCTGAAATACTCACACCTGAAATACTCACACCTGAAATACTCACACCTGAAATACTCGCACCTTCGTTGTCTGCTCCGCATTTGAAAAGCCAAAGGTTGCGTTCCTACTAGTAATACTGTCCTGTTCCCTGGAATAGCAAGCTTCCAGATGAATTCCCATTACTGCCTTGTCCTCCGCTCTTTTCCCAAGGCCGTTTCATGGAAAAACAGACGCCCCGTTACACCGAGCTGCAGATACCCTGAACCCTTCAGAGCGGGGCGATTAAAGCTCGCGGCAGCGTGGGGTTTATTCCTAAGCCTGTCTTTATTCCAGACAGGCAGCCTGCAGACGGATGGACATCGCCTGGAGTAGACTGAAGTCATGTTTAGTAAACAAATTGTCCCATATTTAACAGCGGAGACTGTGCTAAGCAGAACGTAGCATATACCTGCGATCTGCGGCACCTGAGAGCAGGAGCAGGTTGAGGGAGGGGATTCTGCCCCTCTGCCCCGCTCTGGGGAGACCCCCCTGCAGTTCTGCCTCCAGCTCTCCGACCCAACAGCAGAAGGACACGGAGCTGTTGGAGCGAGTCCAGAGGAGGCCATGGAGATGCTCCGAGGGCTGGAGCCCCTCTGCCCTGGGGACAGGCTGGGAGAGTTGGGGGGTTCAGCCTGGAGAAGGGAAGCTCCGGGGAGACCTCAGAGCCCCTTCCAGTGCCTGGGGGGCTACAAGAAAGCTGGGGGGGGGCTTTTTCCAAGGGCAGGGAGTGACAGGATAAGGGGTGACGGGTTTAAATGGAAAGAGGGAGATGGAGATGGGACATCAGGAAGGAATTCTTCCCGCAGAGGGTGGGAGCACTGGGACAGGTTCCCAGAGAAGCTGTGGATGCCCCATCCCTGGGAGTGTCCAAGGCCAGGCTGGATGAGGCTTGGAGCAACCTGGGCTATGGAAGGTGTCCCTGCCCGTGGCCGGGGGTAGGATTGGGGGACTTTGAGCTCCCTCCCACCCAACCCAGTCTGTGATTCCATGATTCTGTGATCTGCGCACCAAGGGCGCAGGTTGATTTTGAAGAAGCTCGTTACGCCTAAGTAGAGCCACAGACTTTTAAACATGACAGACGTTCGTAATGCCCTCGAAGCTCTGGTTTGTAGGAACACCTTTGGAAGACCTAAGTTAACATCCCAACCAGGATGTGCTTTTTTCCTCAGATTAATCCCAGAGGCCCCTGGCAAAGAGCAGTAGTGACAGACACGCTCCCCTTGCCTGGAGGCAGCTAAGGGGTGACCGGCCGGTAGAGCTGCAGGAGCCTGGCCTTGGGGGGCTGCGAGGAAGCGGTCGGTGGTCGGGGAGCGGGATAAGGGTCGGAGCAGGCCGGTGCGGTCGGCTCGATTACCGGATAGACGTCAGGATCATCGCTCTTTGACCTCAGCACTGGGACTGCTTGGCTGGAGGGGGCTGGGAGGCTGCGGCCGGGGGGCTGTACTTGGTGTACTCCTGCACGTCCTGTTGCCCGCCTGTAATAGCAGGATTTCAGGTTGTGCCACGTAAATAAGTTACTTGTGTGCACTCAGTAGTTTTCCTCATTCAAAAACCTGTCAGTATCCTTCAAAAGAGAAGATAAAAAGATTAAAAACTTTTAAATTTAAAAAAATTTGAAAGATTTTCTCTCCCTACCCACACGTTCACCTTCCAGCTTTGGGGTGTATTTTGAATTCTTAGCCAGAGCCTTAGCGTTTAGACCTTTTTTAATTAATAATTTATAGCTTCCTTGTCGGATAGCCCTTAATGAACTTCGCGGAGCTGCCAAACAGGGAAATGAGATGAGTTTCCTAGTTCAGCCGGTGTGTTCCAGTCCAACTGGACGTAGTGCCCCGTGTTAAACCGCTGTGAAGTTGGAGGGGCCAAATGCGGAGCGCTGAGCGCCGGGCCCCGAGCTGAACGAGAAGGGTGCAGTGTCTGTATCTGTACCCATCCGGTCACGCGTCCGGGATAGCCGCCTGTTGGTACAGACAGAGCGGTGGTTTGGTGAACCGTATGGACATTGCGAGGCCCACGCAAGAACCAGGCAGCCTGCGGGGGTTTCTTTCGGGTAGCCGTGCCAAAGCTGGAGTTATTAACTTTGTTAGGTAAGAGAAAGGGTTAAACGAGACAAGTCTGGTGCTTTAAATATCTTTTTCAAAGAGTACCTAATCTGGTGTAGGCTAACTAATGACATAATCCCAGACTGGCCAATCGTCTCTGGGCTGCTCATCCTTGCTGCAGGCCTGCGGCGGCAGAGCGGCAAACGCTAATCTGCTCAGGGTGTCAGGGGACAGGCCCGCCTCTCTCTGTGCCCTGGCCCTGCTGCGGCCTCTCACGTTTGCATTCCGAGCAGGAGCTTAATTCGCCCGCCAGTAGCTTGGTTTTCCCTGGAATACACGTTAAAATGCTTGATCCACGGCTTTAAGTGATGGGAAGTGACGTAGCGGCAGCCTGTCGGTCTCAGGTTGTTCTTACAGGTGTTGTCATGAAGAAATTCTCTAAATATTAAGACTGAGAGAGAGGATGAGGTGGCTTTGGGGATGTGTGTGTAGTTCACCTCCCTAGCGACACCCCAGCTGTTGACCTGGGACTTTTGGGAAGAAGAGGTGAGTGTTCTGTAGTGATTCTGGGGTGCCTGGTGTTGTGCCGAAATCTCTCCGATCATTCACTGAGTTTTGGGACTGTTCACACGCGTGGGGAGCCTTTTCAAAGCACGTTTAAACAGTATGAATTGAGTTTTCCCATGGAAACTGGTCGCAAGGCTGATGTTGCTGATGAGCTCGGCGCTATTCCGTGTCTAAGCGTTTCTCCGTCTCTTCTTTGGCAGGGGCCGTTCTCTCTTCAGGTTAGTTCAGGATGGCAGACCAGAGGCAACGTTCGCTCTCTACCTCCGGGGAGTCGCTGTACCACGTGCTGGGGTTGGACAAGAATGCCACTTCGGATGACATCAAAAAGTCCTACAGGTGAGGGTTCAGGTTTTACACGCGTCGCTCAATAGCACCAGTAACTCTCGTTGAGCCTTCAGCAGGTGGTGTCTTTATGCATTGGCTCCTCTTTGTTTAGGGAAGCTGTTTGCAAGAAAAACGTGTAAGAAAAGGGGGTGAAAACATGGTTGATTTGGGCAAAAATTGGCGTGAATCATAGAATGGTTTGGATGGGAAGGGACCTCAAAGCCCCCCCAGCCCCACCCCCTGCCATGGGCAGGGACACCTTCCATAGACCAGGTTGCTCCAAGCCTCATCCAGCCTGGCCTTGGACACTCCCAGGGATGGGGCATCCACAGCTTCTCTGGGAACCTGGCCCGGTGCTTCACCACATGTGCAAACATGCCTGGGCTTTGTAAGTGCTGTTACACCTCTAGTAAGTGGAATTCTCAGATGTGCAGTGTCATTCCCGAAGGTCTTCCATTGAGGTGGGACGGAGCTTTAAGCCAGTGCCGTGAGTTCAGTCCGTGGTGGTGCGTGGCCTTGTGCCTGGCTTAGCGACCACAGGTGTGTGTTGCCCTTTGTCCATCACTTCCACCGGCACGGTGAAGTTTAGATTAAAGATGACAATAAGGATGAAAACTGAGTATCAACAAGGACTTTTTTAAAAAGATCCATTGAGAATTTCTTACTCTGTGTGGAGTTACTATTTTTAAAAGAGGATTTTTTACTTTATTTCATTTCTTAGATGTAGACACATGCAGCAGCTTCACACTGGCGACATAAAACCAAATAATAATAATAAAAAAGCCCAGTAACATCCTGCCTTTCCCTGTTCCCCCCAAACCTGCTTAAATGCAATTGCTTCTTCCCCAAAAGCCAGGTCTTGTGGAGCATCTGCCAAGTGGCAATGTATGTCACGTTACACTAGGGGTCAGCAGTCATCTTTCCTCCAGGATATTCCAAAACCGTCTTCTTTTAGGCTTTAACGTTTACCAGGATTTTGCCCTTTCAAAGTTACATTTTGGTACCGATGGCAACCACATGGTGAAGTTTCTGAATGAACTGGATCCATGGATTCTCAAAAATCAGCTGTGTCTTCCTGAAAGTGGAAGTTGGAATCGGCAATCTTCAAGTCTTAGCAACTGGAAAACAATTTCACCTTCTTGGTTCCTTTGGAGTAACGACCCGACTAGATCCTGGGGGGAAATGTAGCCGCTTCACACTTCCCAGGGCCTTCAGCTGATCTTGTTTCCTCTGCTGCCCTTTACCAAAGGAGGGCTGACACCTCTTGTTTTCCATCCTTTGCCGGCCTGTGGGATGGATAATCGTTATCTGTTGCAGGCTGAGAGTTGCCAAGCCCTTCCCAGGTTTATATAAGTTCCCTTTACTTATAAAAACTGGGGTTATTTCAGTCCTCGGCGGGGTTAGTGGCAGCCCTGGGTGTTACCTGCTGCCAGTCAGGGTGTTTCTCGTGCCCCCTCGGTTTATCGTTGGCACGCTGCGGTAGGACTTGGACACGCGTCCACGCCTGTGCCCGCGCACACCCACCCTTCGTGTTCGTCCCAACGTTTCCGCGCTGCCAGGTCGGCGTGCGAGCGTCTGCGGGGCTTCCGGTGCCTGTCTCAAGGGTGGGAGGTGGGTGGTTTGCCGTCGGGGGGCAGGCAGCTCGGCGAGGCCGAGGAGACCCGTTAGTGCACAGTTCTCTGCCGTTTTCCTGCTTGGGAGCACAGATAGAATGAATCATGGAATGGTTTGGGTTAGGAGGGACCTTCAAGATCATCCAGTTCCAACCCCCCTGCCATGGGCAGGGACACCTTCCATAGCCCAGGCTGCTCCAAGCCTCATCCAGCCTGGCCTTGGACACTCCCAGGGATGGGGCATCCACAGCTTCTCTGGGAACCTGTCCCAGTGCTCCCACCCTCTGCGGGAAGAATTCCTTCCTGATGTCCCATCTCCATCTCCCTCTTTCCGTTTAAACCCGTTACCCCTTGTCCTGTCACTCCCTGCCCTTGGGAAACGTCCCTCCAGCTTTCTTGTAGCCCCCCCAGGCACTGGAAGGGGCTCTGAGGTCTCCCCAGAGCTTCCCTTCTCCAGGCTGACCCCCCCACCTCCCCCAGCCTGTCCCCATGGCAGAGGGGCTCCAGCCCTCGGAGCATCTCCGTGGCCTCCTCTGGACTTGCTCCAACCCGTCTATATCCTGATGTTGAGGCTCCCCAGCTGGAGGCAGCACTCCAGGGGGGTCTCCCCAGAGCAGAGCAGAGGGGCAGAATCCCCTCCCTCACCCCCCTGGCCACAGCAGGTGAGATGGCTCAAGCACCATCTTTTTTCTGTCTATAAGGAGGCATTTGGTTGGGTATTTCCACAGTTTTCTCTAAATAGGCTGGGGCGGGTGAGAAGGAGCGAAGGTACCGACGCTTACCCTGATTTTCGGTGCTCTGTTCCCCGGGACTGCGAACGGCCGTCGTTGAGTTGTGAGAGACGTGGCGTGATGAGGGGAGGTGCCTTACGGTTTCCTGGTATCTCGAAACTCGGAAGCTTTTTCTGTTCTAGCAAACCTGGAACTGAAAAGTGCTTTGTTCTGCACAGGAGTTGGTGAATTAACCACAAGGGGTTGTTCTATTTTTGTGTGCAGAGGCTGCAGATTAGCTGCGGCAGCTTGCTTTTCATTTCTTCTTTGGTATCTTGGCCTTGCGGTGTGTCTTTTTTCTGTTAGCTTGGTCTTTGCTTTAGCGGGAACAGCACTTACGGGTGGAAATTGCCCGAGTGGAGGGATAAAAAAATAGCTCTGTTTCAACATCTGTCTGATTTTTCCTTGCCATCGGATTTCTGAGGGCCAAATCCAGCGGGGTGAAGTCAGTCCTGTGCAGTGAGCCAGAGCGCGCCGTAGCCTTTCGCTGTCATCTGGGGAGGAATCACCAGGGAAGTGGGGTCAGAGATGAAGGAAACCAACTGGAACGTCTCCCCGGAGTGACAGCTCTGGCGTAAAAATAAATAACAAAACCAGGAACCCAAATCCTACTTTTTCATCTATAACGGTCTCTGGTTTTTTTTTCGTTCTGCAGGAAACTTGCATTGAAATATCACCCCGATAAAAACCCTGATAATCCAGAGGCAGCGGAAAAATTCAAAGAGATCAACAACGCACACGCGATATTGACGGATGCCACCAAGCGCAACATCTACGACAAGTACGGGTCTCTGGGCCTGTACGTCGCCGAGCAGTTTGGCGAAGAGAACGTCAACACCTACTTCGTGTTGTCCAGCTGGTGGGCAAAGGTAAAGAAAAGGGCGGAGGGGGGTGACTCTGGGTTGGCATTTAAACCTCTTCAGGAGCTCGGTTTGGTGGCTGTGCGTGGTTTTACTGCTGCAGGTTGCTGGCTGTCTCACACCTCCTCTCGCTGGGTTGCCAGCTCTGGGTCAGAGGTGTCTGTTGTCTTCCAGAGATACAGGCCTAATAAGCCAGACTTTGGTTGGTAGGAGAATCTTGGACCCTTCTAGTGGTTTTAAAAGCGATGAGGATTTGGGGGGTAATGACAACACCGCCGTGATGTGCGGGGCGGGTCCTGCCCGTGAACTCACAGATCTGCTCGCACAGATCTGTTCAGAAACGTGTTTACCACCTTCCTCAGAGCCCTCCCTGCGCAAACACCACTCCTTCTCTGCGCTGAGGGGCTCCAGGTTATCTCTTCAGCCCTGTTGCTTGGGCAGCAGGAAGCGTGTCACCGGCGTACCGGAATTACACTGCCGCTCCTGTTCCATGCACACAAAACAAGTCAATTGCCCCTCTGGAAGTTCAACCCCGTCACCTGTTGTCCTGTCACTCCCTGCTCTTGGGAAAAGCACCCCCCAGCTTCCATGTAGCCCCCCCCAGGCACTGGAAGGGGCTTTAAGGTCTCCCTGGAGCTTCCCTTCTCCAGGCTGAACCCCCCGGACTCACTCCAACCGGTCCGTGTCCCTCTGACGTTGCTGTTTCTCGGTCTCTGTGCTCTGCAGGCCTTGTTTGTCTTCTGTGGGCTCATCACAGGCTGCTATTGCTGTTGCTGTCTGTGCTGCTGCTGTAATTGTTGCTGTGGGAAGTGTAAACCTAAACCTCCTGAAGGCGAAGAGCAGGAATACTACGTCTCTCCAGAGGACTTGGAGGCACAGTTGCAGTCAGATGAAAGGGGTGAGTAAAACCGCAGCGAGATGGGTGGGACGGCCGCGGCACCAGCCTCCGCCCGCGTGCTCAGCGTGCTGGGGGGAGCAGCGCGTGCTCTCTGCGGATCATAAAATCATAGAACAATTTGGGTTGGAAGGGACCTTAAAGATCATCCAATCACACCCACTGCCACGGGCA